AATAGGAAAGAAAAAAGTAAAAAATTTAAATTCTTGAAAAAAGAAACCATCTTACTACTTTATAATACCTTATACCTTTCATTTTGTATATTTTTTCAAGTTGCCTAATTTTAAATAAAAACTGTAAATAAAAGTAACTTTACACGCTTCCTTTCTGGAAAATTCAGAAAAAAATAAATACTCATATAAAATTTTAATGCCCCTTGTATAATATATTTTTTTTGCTTGAAAATGTTGTAAATCTCAGATATAAAAAATAGTTGTCAATAAAAATATCTTGCAAAAATCCGCTATCGGTCGAACCATCTATTTTTTTTTTAGATCATTTTAAACCCTCTGAAACACACATTTCAAAATACTTTTTTGCCCTGCAAACGCTTTAAAATATTTTTTCTTGCCTTGAAACTATAAAATGTGTCCTGATTTTACTGTTGAAAAAATTTGAACTGCATCATTTTGATTATTTTTTTGTTATAGAAACTGCTAAATAATAATATTAGAACATCCATTTTTTTCGCAAACACTTTATTTTCTTAATTTAAGCTCATGTTTAAGTTCGTCGGAATTATTTAATTTTCATGACAATTGACATTGGAAGTTTGACGTGTGTCTAAAAGAAATACAATGTTGCCATATCAATAATTACATGTCAATGGTCAATTTTACCTATGCCCTGTGTTGTACCAAGCCAACATTGACTTCAATATCAAAAAAATTATAAAAAATTGACGATTTAAAAAATGTTAATATCAAGACCTTCTTCCTCATCTGCGTAATTACATAAAATAAGAAAAATTAAACAAATTTTAACTAATTTATCTAACCTGTGCGGCCTGGAGTCACCACGAGTTGCTTCTCAAAAAAATATACATAAAATAAGAAAAATTAAACAAATTTGAACTAATTTACCTAACCCATACCTGGCTACGCCGACGGGCACAGACTCCAACGGCCTGGACACAGCTCATATTGATAAAAAAATTATTTTTTGCAAACAGTAGATAAGTTTCGACATGGCGTAATTAACGTAATTAACGTAATTTTTCGGCAACGCTGTAAGGCCTGGAGCCATTTCCAAACAGATAACTTTCATTAACCGAACTATTTTCGGTCGTATATGTTTTCTTACTAGATTTGACAACACCGCATTAATAGAAACTAAAAATGTCAATTGTCATTGAACATAATTTACTGTATTTGTTTTTCTAATAAACTTAAAAATCTGATGTGTCCAACACATGAGTTTCCTATCTAATTATTATAGGTTTTTCCGGTTATTTTGTACAACCTATATTCCATAAAAATTAAAAATGATCGGAAAGGGACGACAATAAGTCGAACCTTTCACTATATTTTATAATCCCGTTCTTCATCTGTAATTGGTTCATCATCATTCTCGTAATTAAATTGTTTTTAACACGCCTTGGACTGAAGACTTTTTTAGTTTTATGCTTAGGAGTTCCCTGTTTTTACAATTTCTAGATCGAGGGAAGTTCTGGGTAAAATACTTTACCAATTTTTATCTAATTATTTTCAGCATATTTCTGAAACGGCTGATCAATTCAATCACTCTGGTTTATGAATAAATTAGTTTTAGACTACAACAGCTACATTTTTCTTAATATCAATAGGTATTACCGATAAATTTTACAAAACAACTGGAAAATTATCCATTTATCAAACTTTGAAATATGGGAAAATGTTGAATGATTAATAGTAATAATTAATAGTTTAATAATTTTTTTTACTCTTCTGTGGTACAAAAGTTACTTTTATGTAGTTATATGTATTACTTGTTTATACTTTTTTTATTACGAAAAATGTATATTGTTATTCTTACCTTAGTTCAGAAATCATCCCGCAATTGAAATCAATCTTGTTACACTTAATTTTATTTGCAAAATTAATTATATAATGAAATTTCATAGTTTTCGGAACTTAACGATTTTTTACTTTCTTCTGTATTTATTTTTTAAATAATTCAGACACTTGCAATTTTTTCTTTTCTTCAATTCATAACAAATTTGACTTTTTCTGAAATATTTTCCAGCAGGGATATACTCCGTCGTTAACTTGTTGGCCGATATCACATGACTGGCAGAAATATTTAGTAGGTAAAGGGCAACTTATGGAATGCCTTTATGCGAAATCTTGGATGCAAACTATCTTTTGAATTCTCCCCTAACTTACCCCATTCCCTATTTCCAAGCCGTGGTTGTAGGATATTGATAAGCTTGCATATAAGTATGCCTTTAATCTATGTCAAAATAACTCGTCCTTGTGATATCGTTTAGATATATTCGCTAACAGTTTTAAACATTTTTATATATTCTTATTTGTTTTTATGTAAGACTTAGTTCCTCTTTTAGTCTGAGAAAGATAGTAGTAGAAAGAAAAAGTGTATATTAAATAGTATATTCCAGCTTTAATGGTAGAATATTAAGTAATGGATTAGAGGGTAGCGATAGCTATGATAACTAAACTTCAACTCTATCTGCAAAAAATATAAAATGCTCTCGTCAGAACAAGAGGCAAGAAAGTGTATCCCATTTCGTTTTCAGGGTATAAGGAAATTTTATAAATTATGAAAACCGTCTACAGATTGGTTCCCGTTTAAGAAATAACTAAATTTACTACTAGGTATTAGAGGGAAATTTTTCCGAAGCTGAATAAGGGCATGTGATTGGAGTTTTCACGCATATTCTTCTACAGCTTACGAGAGCTATGGTAGCTTTGTATGCGAATTTTTTAAATGTTGATTTCACGTCAGCCTTTGGTCGACTATGATTCCGAGGTATTTGGCTTCTGTGACAAATGGAATAACCATGTTTAGTTCTAGTGGTATTATTCCTGTAAGTACCCGTTTTTTTGTGAATGGTACTATTTGAGATCGCTCAGAGACTGTGCCTGCAAATCGCCCCCTGACGATAATTGCTAGGTCTTCTGCGCATCCTAGGCACTGGTAGCCTTCTTTGGACAATATTTTAAGTAGGTCGTCCAATAGAACTGACCACAGTATTGGAAATAACATTCCTCCCGTGTAACTTTTGCCTATATCGTTGCCTTTCCTAGAGTGGTAGTGATCCATTGGCATATTGTGATTGGGACGTTTCTCTGTTCTAGAGCCTTCGTTATTGACCTGGTTGAGGCATTATTTCGATATCTAAGAAAGTGGCTAGGTATTACGATTTCTTTGTCATCTATCGACTTTGAAAGCAACCTGCCTAGATCGTCCAAAACTAGGCAAGTTAACTTTCCTGGCTGGTATGCATATTGGTTGGGATAAAGCGGATTTATTTTTAGTATGTATCTCTTCTCTGATATACCTGTCTATCAATCTGTCTAGAGTTTTTAGTAAGAAGAGGATAGGCTTATAGGGCGATATGACTTTGGCGTTTGATCAGTGACCCTCCCTACTTTATCAAGGTAGACTACTTTCGCCTTTTGCCGTATTGCTGGGATATATCTTCACTATCTCCAGTTAATGTAAGTTCTAAAGGTTTTACATAGATGTGGCTTTAACACATCCTTACTCTTCTGAAGAAGCATTGGATATATTGTATGACCTGAGTTTGTTGATAGCCCAACTAATCCCTTGTGATATTGTGATCTCGGATGCCACCTTCCAGTCAACTGAAGTTGGTCTGATCCCCTATTGACTCTAACTCTCTTCGTTTCTTGAATCTAGACCTGTTAGGATAGTTAAGGCCGGAAAGTTCATCTGAGTTAGTATCTCTAGACTTTCCTCTAGTATCGCAGTTTTCTTTGTAGGCATCAGTAATTGCCTTGTTTACCAATGCTACTATCCTTTCGAGAGTTTTTGTTTCTTGTACGTTAATAGTTTTCTCCTTGAGAGAGTCCTCGAGAGATTTAAAGTAAGTAGCCTTTCCAATTCGTCTCTCTCGGGTTTATAAACTTATCTGCTGTACGAGTTGGACATTGTAAATTGCATCGGATATGTCCGTGATCTGAACCGATGGTTCATCACAGACATGTCAATTTTTGATTTGGTCATTTGTGCCTCTCAAACATATGGTCATATCTAGAACTTTTGTTAGATTGGTTTGGTACTTTTATTGGTAATTTCTAACCCTTTAAAATTAATTGTAATAGTGACTTACCTCTTGAATTGATGTTGATGCTTTATTTAGTTGTTCCAGTAGCCTTGATAAGTAATCATATGCCTGTCAAAAAGATTAATTAACAAGTTTGTGAACAGCGAAACTTTAAAATTTTAAAAACATTGAGAGACACAACAAACACTTTAATTAAAAATTTGTATTTCTTTATCATAGTTTAGAAAAAATTATCCCCTCTTATAAAAATGGCTTTTTTTCCTTTCTCCTTTTGTTTAGAATGAAGGGAAAATTTTTTTATTCAGTTCTGCATCTTTAAAACAACTAGGTACTTGTAAGACAAATATTTTTTTATTTCGATGGAAATGTAAAAGATCTGTTTTTGTACCTGCCCACCTTTTCTGTTTAGTATTCACGACAATAATTGATTACTTACACGAACTTGAATATTATTTGCTTACTATTTGTTGTTTATCTGTATATGGGAGGAGCCAACAAAGGTAAAAACTTTGAATTTTGATGATGAATGAGAAATATATTACGGTTGTATATAAAGATAATTATCATAAAAAAATAACAGTTACTCTTGAACGGACATCCAAATCAAAATATAGAATTACCATAATACTAAAGTATTAATTATTGTTATCCTTGTTTTTTTACATAAGTTAATGACAGATTAAAATAAATTAGAATTAAATTGGTGGTTTTGGCAAGTTTAATTAGTATATTTTGTAAAAATTGCAAATTAAATTTGTACCCATTTTTAAGTAAAATATATACATGCTGGAATGATAAATTTTTGATTTAATAGTACCTACACGAAAAGTAGGAAATAAATTATTATAGGGTGTTTTAAAAATAATAATATCAGAAAGTAATGTATCATATAAATTTCTTTACTAATTTCCATTTTCTTTACAGGACCGTCTCACGGCTTCTGGTCATGGTTCCTTGACGTTAAGCGGCGGCTCTCCAGGAGGCGGTTACTCCGCTGGTGGTTCAGCCGCCCACCACCGAGCTGCCTCCGGACTACACCACTCCGCGGCGGCTGCCATGCAGCACCAGCTGCCCCAACCCGACTTCCAGCCGCCATACTTCCCGCCACCATTCCACCACCCGCCCAGTCCCCCGCCACAGCAACACTTGGAGTACCTCACGGATCCATACGGAGGCCTCTCGGGCCTTCACCATTATAACCAGTTAGGATTAAGGCCGAGAGACGGAGATGGTAGCCATACACATGTTGTAAGTTGATTTACTTAAAATATTTTGAAACAACTTTAAATTTATTTATTGTAATGGTATTTTGTGCAATTCAAGTGGATATGATAACTATATCGCACGAAGATGATGTTGAATGGTATTGAATACATTACTTAGCAGATTAGGACCTACCTTTCCATCGTTCTGAAAATTGATGATCGAGTTGACCATGAATTACTGTATTATGATGTATTGGAGCCCCGCCCCTATAGGCAACTGATTCTCCAAAAAGTCTAAATAAACTTCACTGTTAACCGTTTCCTCAAAAAAATATGGTCCAATTACATAATCACTAACAATACCACCCCAAACTTTTAAAGACCATCTTGTTTGAGAAGTAGTAACTGTCGCATAAGGATTTTCTTTGGCATAATAGTGAAAATTATGCGATTTAATAAACCATTTTTATGGAATGACGACTCATCTCCGAAAATTACATAATCAAATCTCTTTGATCATGAATTCTTCTTTGTGCTCAATTGTTCTTCGCCGAAAATCATCATCCATTAATTCCTGGTGTAACTGAATGTGATATGGGTGCATCTTATTGTTTGATATATTTTGCACTCTTCCATAGTTCATTTCTTGTTCCCTGGAAATTACTCGTATACTTGTATTTGGATTATCCGTAACTGCTAATAATATATTGAGTTCATTTTCGTAAGTAATAACGGTTTTCGTTTTTTTCTTTTTTTTTTATGCGCTACATTACCTGTACGATTAAATCGATCCATGACTATCTCGAAATTTCTTTTTTCAGCTAATCGGTATTTTGGGAATCTTTCATGATACACCCTTACTGCTAACAAGCTATTTTTACGACATTTTCTTAGTATCCAAATTAGGGTGATTCATTTCCGCAGTTTTTTGTTTTTTCGGTGCTCAAGCAAAATATTAATCTACATATAGAAAAAAATTATCACCAAGTTTGAACTCTTAATATCAATTTTAAGTACTTACTATTTAAATTTGAAGTTTTACCATTTAATATGCATATAAAAATTTTTTTTTTTTTAATTTCTAATGCTTATCCCACCTTTTACAATAATGCAAATCGGTTTGATGGACCTTGTGGGGAATTTCATGTTCTTCGAAATTGCTTTAGAGTTTTTTTGTGTAACTCGCACTGGTTCACCAGTAGGAGTCGTCAAAGTAGTTATTGCAAAAAAAAATGTTTTCCTTTGTTTCGAGCAAATCGCCAAAAGTAGAGAGAAAAATGAGCTGACTCATAAAAAGAAAGTTATCCAACCAATATTTAATGAATTTACAGCCATTTTATACATTTTGTATTGTTTTTGGAAGAAAGTCTTCAATTATTATGAATTTTTGCTTTTGTATTTTTTTTCTTGGAACTTTAATAGTGTTTTGAAGAATACGATTACTCACTTAGCTGAACTGTACCGACCCAAATGAAGTTTGTTTCATACTTCTAAATAAATGTACGCACTGATGCTTTTTGTTCATATTACCCTAAACATGTAGGAAACTATGATCAAGTTCAGCAATCGATATAGACGTTAAGATACTGACAGAATCCTTGAATATTTGTTACGACTTGACATAGTTCCGACACTAAGAATTTTGTTAGGAATTCTAAGTATCCCTATACTCATAACAGGATACGATAGCCAAGTAGGGTAAAATCGTAGTATGTTATCTGAAATCTAAATGCCACAAACTAAATTTGACCGACATTGTGAAACCATTTATCTATACAAGGAGACACCGTACACCAATATTTTGTTGGCCATTTTTCTATTTGCTAAAATTTCCGTAACACAATAATAATAATAATAATATATATCTACAAGGTGAAGCACAGAAAACGAAACCAATTGAATATCTTGAAGAAGAATTAAAAAAAACCGTTATACATCATTTACTCTAATCTTTGACCAATACAATTTAAATAGGTAAAATACCAAACGAAGAGTCCAAAGCAAAAACGATGAAGGTCATTAAAAGTTAATTTACTGAAAATAGAATTTTAAGTTTCGAAACCAAAATACACTTAGAACAAGAATATTAAGATAAATTAGGTAGAAGCAATTTTGTGCAACATTTATTGGATAATATTATACAAAAAACGTCATGTCTTTATTCTGGTTCTTCTTCATGCACGTCGCTTACTGCCCTTACCCGTTTTTTTCAGCGACATTCATCGTTTTTGTTGGGTTCACCATCTTTTGTTCTTGAATAACTCCGTGAATATGAGCTTTATTGCTGTATGAACTAGTTTAGCATATACTGACTCCGCTATTTTATCGTATATTTAACTTAGTTTAAGAAAAAAATTACTTTCATCGTTTTTTCTGTGTACTCTTCAAATATGACAGGATGATGGGTGACTTCTTTGGAATGACACTTCTTCCTTTATTCGTCCGTCTCCTATAACGGCCGCAGGCTACTACAGGGTGCAGGACAACAATATATTGTTGTTCTTATGTTTACTATACATTATTTATACGGGGTGGATCATAAAGAGTAACTGAAGTATCTGTTAATAAATGCTTGTCATTTTTGAACAGGTAATACAATAAGTTAAAGTGTCCTATAAAATGCAAGAACTTTTTTCCAAGCATGAACACTATGAACAGTAAACAAAACATTTCTAAATTGTTATACAGGGTGTTTCTAAATTCATGCGACAAAATTCAGGAGGTGATTTCTCGTATGAAATTAAGATGGGTCTTTCCTATAACAAAATTTCCTCAGACCACCCCTTTTCGAGATATCACCCTTAAAAAGTGGTGACTAAAATTGAGTTTTTATTTTTTTTCTAAAATTTCAGTAAAGCTAGAAACTTTAAATTCTGTAATTTTCGTGCACTCGCAAAGGACTATCCACAGGTATTTTTTCAATATTCCTGTTACATTATAGCTTCAGAGAAAAAAAAATAAATACCATAATTTATATTTTTTTAATAAATTGAGTGGAAAACAGTAAAGATGTAAAATGTAATACGATTCATAATAAATGCTGGAAATGACCACCTCTACCTTGTTTTTAATCACAAAGTTTTAGAATAGTACGCTGCTGTCACTTCGACAATTCATTTACCGTGTTTACTTAATATTTATTGAAATTTTAGTTGGCTGATGTCAAACACTGTTGTTGATAGTTACCAATTGAAGTTTACTTGTAAGTTTGTAGGTTGTTATTTTTGCGTTATCTGTCTATTATTTTATAACATGTATACAAACGCTGAAATGGCCGACATGCATTTTGTGTATGATATGGCAAATGGTAATTCTCGACAAGCTAAATGGCTTTATGCTGAAAAATATCCGCAACGAATGACGCCTCATCATTCCGTATTTGCACGTATTCGCAACTGCTTATCCGAAACTGGAAAGTTAAAAAGAAATTCAAACAACACTGGTCGTTTCCGGACAGTTAGAAATGTAATGGTAGAACAAGCAATTTTAGATGAAATTGATGTACACCCGGAAACAAGCACTAGAAAAATTGCCAACACCCTAAATATCAGTCATTCATCTGTATGGCGAGTTTTAAAAGAGCAGCAGTTATATTCTTACCACATCCAACGGGTTCAAGCTCTTTTACCTAGAGATTTTCCTCAGCGAGTTAGATTGTGTGAATGGTTAATACACAAAATGCGAAAAAATCCTTAATTTTTAAATAATGTATTGTTTACGGACGAGGCACATTTTTCAAGAGTATCTATCATAAATTTTCACAATAATCACGTATGGGCAGACGAGAATCCCCATGAGATTATAGAACACCATTTTCAAAATGTTTTTTCAGTGAACGTATGGATTGGTATTGTAGGGGATAACTTAATTGAGCCACATTTTCTGCCTCAGCCATTAAAAGGAATTTCTTACACCAGTTTTCTCAAAAATGATCTCACTGAACTACTTGAAGACATCGCACTCAATGTCAGAGAAAACATGGTTCATGCACGATGGTGCTCCAGTACAGTTCAGTCGGACTGCTAGGCAACATTTAGATGCAACATATCCCAACCGTTGGATTGGTCCAGGAGGACCCCAACATTGACCTCCTCGATCTCCAGAGTTAAATCCTTGTGATTTCTGTGAATGGGGTTACCTTAATAATGTAATAGGAATATTAAAAAAATACCGGTGGTTAGTCCTTTGCGAATTCACGAAAATTACAAAATTTCAAGTTTCTAGTTTTACTAAATATTTAGAAAAAAAAATAAAAACTTAATTTTAGTCACCACCTTCTAAGGGTGATATCTCGGAAAGGGGTGGGCTGAGGAAATTTTGTTATAGGAGAGACCCATCTTAATTACATACGAGCAATCACCTCCTGAATTTTGTCGCATGAATTTAGAAACAACCTGTATAAAACACCTATTTAATTTCAAATAGGTAAATTACAAGAAATAAACAAATTTAATGTACCTCAACCTCCAAAAACCCTGAAATACGTCATTATTTATTTATGATGAGTAGGTACAACTCCAATTTTTAAGTTCATATCTTTAAAAACATCCATACCCCTCATAAACTTTCACCCCCTAACTTCCCCCCTTAAAATGTAAAAATTTAAAAAACCTGAAATACGTCATTATTTATTTATGATGGATAGCTACAATTCCAATTTTCAAGTTCCTACCTTTAAAAAATGTATACCCTTCTACAAACTTTCACCCTCAATTTCCCCCCCTTAAAATGTAAAAATTTAAAATCCTTGAAATACGTCATTATTTATGAGTAATAGTAAAAATAAGATAATTAGTAATAAAAAAAATTTATGAATCGAAACCAAGCATAATTCTTATGTATTTCGATCCGCTGGTTACTGCGGAGGTCATTTGAGAACAAAAAGTTTGATACCAACAAAAAACAGTTCAAAATCAGAAAAATCTTTCGCCTCATTCAGTTCATACATCAGTTTTTAGAGATATTGCAAAGGTGGATATTGAAGGGTGGACGGCCCAACTGACTTGAAATTCGGATTCAGCGGGTCAAAATACATGCCGGTAGGTAGGTCGTGTCTGATGTACAAACAACTTTTTTTTTGTGTGCCGGTGTTATTAAATCCAAACAGGTCCTTAAAAAAAGAAAAATTTACGACGCTTCGACATACATGAATTTTTCCAAGGCCTACTTTAAAAACATTTTTGTGAATCACTCCATATTTTTTATTCAGTTTCGCCTTGATTATATTAAATATTTAATAAATATTACATTGTTTAAGGGTGAGATTACAGAACGTCTGCAACTTTGCACTTTGCAGATCTGCAAATATGGCGGCAACTTTGAAAATCTGCAAATATGACTGACTTACATATGCAAGTATCAAGTTTTCGTATTCCAAATTTGGGTTTAGTGTTGTTGGGGGTAATAAACCACAATAAATATTGCGAATGCGAATTTGCAGATATTTTTTGGAATACTTGCATTTGTAAGTCCGCCATATTTGCAGATCTGCAAAGTTGCAGACGTTCTGTAATCTCACCCTAAGTCTGCAACGTTGTATATTGTCTTTATTAATCCTATAAGCAGGCGCGGCTCGTCTATAGGAGCACATGTACTCCCAGGAAAATGTTATAAATAAGTTCAACCAATAAAAAAAAGAAGATTGTCTTTACTTATAATACACTAAAGTCCATTAAATTCAATTCTTTTGTTTTATTGGTTGAACACTTATTTACTACTTATTAGGCATTCCAACGACCTGTCAAAATGCTGCCAGTGAAAACTGACAGTTTAGATATGGCAACCCTGTGGGCTATATATAGCTATATAGATTGCTCATAGCGGGTCGTTTGCGAGCAGCCATATTGCCTGCCAAGTGTTCTTTTATTTGAATCGGTCTGGCAAAAATGTGTTCTAAAACTAATGTCCAGTCTTTGAATATATTAAAAAATTATTGCGTACATTTTTACTTCAAGGCATAAGCTTGTTTATTTTTAAAAACATGGATGATCAATATCTATGTAACTATCTATATTATTGACCCTGTCAAATCATTAGGCCCACAGAGTTGCCATATCATAACCTGTCAGTGGCCTGTCATTACCTACGGACAACCATTTTGTTTGGAATGCCTAATTTACAACAGTTTTCTGGGTGTGCACATGGGTATGTACTCCTTATGAACGAGCTGCGCATGTCTATAAATAAATAAATAATCCTTGTTTCGATATAATTAACATTGTTCTCCCTTTTCAGAGTCAGTTAGGTCACGGTACGAGTTTTCCTTACAGTACAGGACCGGGGGGAGGCAGAGCCGACTATTCAACACAGAGGCACGACGACCCCCTTTCACTTCACCAAGCACTGGGGCAGGCTGTCGAAGAAGCGCAAGGAGGTCTAGACGACAATACGGGGTTTATCACAGACTTACCATTACTTAAAAGTAAGTTTACGATTCACTCTAATCAAAGTGAAATTTTATTATACAAATTACCTACCCACAGTTGTATAGTTATACAATTAACAGGTTGAAAAATAAACAATTAAAAATATACAAATAAAGATATATAAATAAAAATTACATTTAAAAATACACAATTAAAAATATATAATTATTACAATTAAAAATATACAATTAAAAATGTACTCTACTTTGATTATTGCAATAAAGATAGATATATACCTGAAGGAGGATATCCGACTGCTCTAATGTGTAGATATACCACAAGATTTGAAACTTGTGGGAGAAAATACGCATTATTTAAGGATGAAAATCATAAAATAATCAAAGTGTACGAGGTAAAAAAGTTTCCGAAATGTTACATTTATAAAAAAAAGATCTACCATACATTGATTTTATTCACCTCAGCAACCTTTTAAGTTTGCCATCTTGAGAGTTGGTACATTCACCTATACCAGAGCCTTTGCCCGAACGAAATACATAGATTTTTGGCCAGTCTGATTTTCATCTCCGGAAATAGGAAAATCTCCAAAAGCCAAGTCAGGTAAATAAAATAAAACTTATGTATTTCTTTCTCTAGAATAATTAATTCTGAGTTCAGATATGGTAGAATGATTGATTTGGTTACTCCTTAGTTTTATGTCAAGTTCAGCCTTTAATCTTTCTAATAAATAGTATTTTAAAAGTGTTTTAGCTCACCATTTCTCTACACTAAGATCTCATTTTTGTTTGTTTTGGTGTTTTTACTATCACTCCCTAGTTCTATTACTTCTAGGATCTTGTAACATTGCAATTTTGCAGGGCCAAGGACATGCAATGCAAGACCAAGACTGAAAAAAGAAATTTTTTAAAAAATTTACCGGTTTTATCGAGAAAAAACACTGATTTATCGACATTTTCCCAAAAATGTAACTTACCTAATCCTAATTTAACCTTTTACAGGGTTATGCATCAAAATAAATTATCCACCCTTTATTATCGGAGGTGAAAAAAAATTAATAAAAGTGGTTTTTAATATATAATGCTTCTCAAAAGTCCCCTCCCCCTCTTTTCTTTTGAACGGTGATACTTAGATTAATGAAATTTGGAGGGTGAAAATGAACTATTGTAAGCTTCTCTACTAGTGGTAATAGGTGACGTAATAGGCATCGGTAACATCACTAGGCAACTGAAACCAATAATATTAAATGGGACCTTATATCAAGTGACACCTCGTTTGAAAGGTATTTAGAGAACCTATTCAACCATACTATTTTTTTTGGATTTACGATGTCTTTGATGGTTAAAATAAGGTCCCATTTAATATTATTGGTTTCAGTTGCCTGGTGACGTCATCGATGCCTATTACGTCACCTGTTACCACTAGTAGAGAAGCTTACAATAGTTCATTTTCACCCTCCAAATTTCATCAGTCTAAGTATCACCGTTCAAAAGAAAAGAGGGGGGAAGGGACTTTTGAGAAGCACTGTATATCATTGAAAACACATTGACGTGTACTAAAGAGTTCAAAAATTAATAAGTATCAAGTTGTATATTTTCTTATAAAACAAAACGCTTCCTGAACAAAGTTATCATAAAAACAAAACAAATAAAAACAAATAAAAACAAATAAAAACAAATAAAAACAAATAAAAACAAAAACAAATAAAAACAAATAAAAACAAATAAAAACAAATAAAAACAAAACAAATAAAAACAAAACAAATAAAAACAAATAAAAACAAATAAAAACAAATAAAAGCAAATAAAAGCAAATAAAAACAAATAAAAACAAACGAAAACAAACGAAAACAAACGAAAACAAACGAAAACAAATAAACAAAAATTATTTATAAATAATTGTTTACTTATTTAGTACACTATATATGTTTTATTTTACTTATTTAGTACATGACGTATGTTTTAATTTTTCTTATTCCAGATATAAAAGGCAAAGACCACAGCGGAGGCTCAATGGTATCCCCTAGCGACGTATTTTGTTCCGTACCTGGTAGATTATCTCTCTTATCGTCAACGTCGAAGTACAAAGTTACAGTGGGGGAAGTACAGCGTCGATTATCGCCACCAGAATGTCTGAACGCTTCCCTCCTGGGTGGAGTGCTCAGAAGAGCGAAAAGCAAAAACGGTGGAAGAATACTCAGGGAAAAATTGGAGAAAATTGGTTTGAACTTGCCCGCTGGACGACGAAAAGCCGCCAATGTTACGTTACTGACTTCCCTTGTGGAAGGAGAAGCCATTCATTTGGCAAGAGATTTTGGATATGTCTGTGAGACTGAATTTCCCGCTAGACAGGTTAGTGATGAACAATTACCCAGTTATATAAATTTCCCTAAATTATACAGGGTCCTGCGGTAGTATGGTCTTTCATAGCTAGTGGTTTATAAATAGCTACCGAATAAAAAATAGGTGTACACTATCATCTAAAAATATATTCAACTTACAGAACGCCCCAAAAAATGTTGTTTGACCACATACCTTCTTTATTAGGACCCGTAATAAGTATATTTTGACATTTTTAGATGTATGAGGTGACTATTCATTTATGGTTGAATTTTAGATTTAATATGAGAATACCGTTTGGAAGCAAAAAAATTAGTTTAACAAAATTTTTGAATTTTCATGATTTCATGTTTTTAATTATTTCTGTATCTTAATTTTTGATTACATTTTATTTTCCTGATACCCTGCGTTGAGCGCGGTGCAACCTGTATGTAGGTTATATACAGGGTGTTTCTAAATTCATGCGACAAAATTCACGAGGTGATTGCTCGTATGAAATTAAGATGGGTTTTTCTTATAACAAAATTTCCTCAGCCCACCCCTTTCCGAGATATCACCCTTAAAAGGTGGTGACTAAAATTGAATTTTAATTTTTTTTTCTAAAATTTTAGTAAAGCTAGAAACTTAAAATTTTGTAATTTTCGTGCACGGGTCCGTATAAGATTAAGAGTGTCGGAATTAAAAGAAAAAAATTATTGCAATAAAAAGTACTCATTTTATATAGTAAATACCTAAAAAAAAATTTGCGGAAAATCCACAAAATTTTGAGAAAAATGAATTAAAAGTTGTAATTTTATAGGTTATTTTGGTTTTATCATACTATTATGTAGGTGACAATTTCGAAGTTTTAATGATATTATAATTGAAGTAACTTACTTTTGTTACATTTTAACTGAAATTAGATATCTATGGAAAATTATTTAGCATTTGCTAATTTAATTTATATTAAAATTAAATGCATTGTATTGTCTGTTTAACCATTTACTTCCACAAAACATAAAATGAAAAAAATAAATCATCAAATTACCTTTGTTGGCACATGACACATGGGGTAGTTGAGTTTACACCGTTGCCATATTAACAAAGTTTCTCCAGGTTTTATGTGTCTAGACTTTATAGATAGATGAGAGTTCAGAGCTAATTTGAAGCACTAAAAAGTACTTGTTTTATACAGTAAGTTAAAAATTTATGAAAAATCACGAATTTTGAAGAAAAATTTTATCAAAAATTGCAGTTTTTTAGCTTATTTGCCTTATTATTGACATCGAACATGTATGTATTATTCACAAAACAATTATGGTATTGATATGAAAAGAGATATACGTATCTGTGATTTTTTACTTTTAAATTTTTGTGGTGTGGCATTTAAATCTTTTAAGTAGTAATTACCGACTTTATGTAAAATGGAATTTAATTACATAATAGATGTTATGAGAGTTTATAATAAAACTGATGAATAGTTGTTGGAATGGATGAGTAGGAATAATTTAGTGAAATCACAATTTAGATGCAAACAACGTCTTTGCCTAACCTAACGCCGGCCGAGCGTGCCGTTTCCATCTACATCATAAGATCATTCTACGCTCGTCCCATCCACCTCCTAACCACTACAGAAGAGAGCGAACGAAGGAAGCGCGCCTAGCCTACGTTTCGAAATTTGCGCTAATTTCGAAACGTAGGTCAAGCGCGCCCTTTTTCCCCTTTTTTTCACCTACACCATAAGAGCATGCTTACGCAGAAGAGAGCGAAGCGAGCGCGCCCGCCCTACTTTTAGAAACTCGCGCGAATTTTGAAACGTATGCCGGGCGTCCCATTTTCCCTCTTAGAGCACCCTTACGCAAGAGGGAGCGAGCGAAGCGAGCGCGCCCGGCCTACGTTTCGAAATTCGGACGAATTTCGAAACGTAGGCCGGGCGCGCCATTTTTCCCCCTTAGAGCACGCTTACGCAAAAGATAGCGAGCGAAGCGAGCGCGCCCGGCCTACGTTTCGAAATTCGCACGAATTTCGAAACGTAGGCCGGGCGCGCTATCTTTCCCCCTTAGAACACGCTTACGCAAAAGAGACCGAGCGAAGCGAGCGCGTCCGGCCTACGTTTCGAAATTCGCGCGAATTTCGAAACGTAGGCCGGGCGCGCCTTTTTCCACCTTAGAGCACGCTTACGCAAAAGGGAGCGAGCGAAGCGAGCGCGCCCGGCCTACGTTTCGAAATTCGCGCTAATTTGGAAACGTAGGCCGGGCGCGCCTTTTTCCCCCTTAGAGCACGCTTACGCAAAAGAGAGCGAGCGAAGCGAGCGCGCCCGGCCTACGTTTCGAAATTCGCGCGAATTTCGAAACGTAGGCCGGCGCGCCTTTTTCCACATTAGAGCACGCTTACGCAAAAGAGAGCGAGCGAAGCGAGCGCGCCCGGCCTACGTTTCGAAATTCGCGCGAATTTCGAAACGTAGGCCGGGCGCGCCTTTTTCCACCTTAGAGCACGCTTACGCAAAAGGGAGCGAGCGAAGCGAGCGCGCCCGGCCTACGTTTCGAAATACGCGCGAATTTCGAAACGTAGGCCGGGCGCGCCATTTCCCCCCTTTAGAGCACGCTTACGCAAAAGAGAGCGAGCGCGCCCGGCCTACGTTTCGAAATTCGCGCGAATTTCGAAACGTAGGCCGGGCGCGCTCGCTTCGCTCGCTATCTTTTGCGTAAGCGTGCTCTAAGGGGGGAAAATGGCGCGCCCGGCCTACGTTTCGAAATTCGCGCGAATTTCGAAACGTAGGCCGGGCGCGCTCGCTTCGCTCGCTCTCTTTTGCGTAAGCGTGCTCTAAGGGGGGGAAATGGCGCGCGTGGCCTACGTTTCGAAATTCACGCGAATTTCGAAACGTAGGCCGGGCGCGCTCGCTTCGCTCGCTATCTTTTGCGTAAGCGTGCTCTAAGGGGGGAAAATGGCGCGCCCGGCCTACGTTTCGAAATTCGTGCGAATTTCGAAACGTAGGCCGGGCGCGCTCGCTTCGCTCGCTCTCTTTTGCGTAAGCATGCTCTAAGGGGGGGAAATGGCGCGCCCGGCCTACGTTTCGAAATTCGCGCGAATTTCGAAATGTAGGCCGGGCGCGCTCGCTTCGCTCGCTCTCTTTTGCGTAAGCATGCTCTAAGGGGGGGAAATGGCGCGCCCGGCCTACGTTTCGAAATTCGCGCGAATTTCGAAACGTAGGCCGGGCGCGCTCGCTTCGCTCGCTATCTTTTGCGTAAGCGTGCTCTAAGGGGGGAAAATGGCGCGCCCGGCCTACGTTTCGAAATTCGCGCGAATTTCGAAACGTAGGCCGGGCGCGCTCGCTTCGCTCGCTATATTTTGCGTAAGCGTGCTCTAAGGGGGGAAAATGGCGCGCCCGGCCTACGTTTCGAAACGTATATCTCTTTTCATATCAATACCATAATTGTTTTGTGAATAATACATACATGTTCGATGTCAATAATAAGGCAAATAAGCTAAAAAAACTGCAATTTTTGATAAAATTTTTCTTCAAAATTCGTGATTTTTCATAAATTTTTAACTTACTGTATAAAACAAGTACTTTTTAGTGCTTCAAATTAGCTCTGAACTCTCATCTATCTATAAAGTCTAGACACATAAAACCTGGAGAAACTTTGTTAATATGGCAACGGTGCAAACTCAACTACCCCATGTGTCATGTGCCAACAAAGGTAATTTGATGATTTATTTTTTTCATTTTATGTTTTGTGGAAGTAAATGGTTAAACAGACAATACAATGCATTTAATTTTAATATAAATTAAATTAGCAAATGCTAAATAATTTTCCATAGATATCTAATTTCAGTTAAAATGTAACAAAAGTAAGTTACTTCAATTATAATATCATTAAAACTTCGAAATTGTCACCTACATAATAGTATGATAAAACCAAAATAACCTATAAAATTACAACTTTTAATTCATTTTTCTCAAAATTTTGTGGATTTTCCGCAAATTTTTTTTTAGGTATTTACTATATAAAATGAGTACTTTTTATTGCAATAATTTTTTTCTTTTAATTCCGACACTCTTAATCTTATACGGACCCTTCGTGCACTAACCACGGGTATTTTTTTCAATATTCCTGTTACATTATAGGGGGGGGTGAAATTAGCAACCCTTATTTTTTTCATATCAAAACTTTTTTTCGAGATGAAGTTATATATAACTTTAAATCCTTGTTTTATTTAAAAAAAAAATTATTCTTAATTTTTTTTTCAAAACTAATAGCTGCAGACAAAAAAAATAAACACCATAATTTATATTTTTTTTTTAATAAATTGAGTGAAAAACAGTAAAGATGTAATACGATTCATAATAAATGCTGGAAATTACCACCTTTAGCCAAAATGAAATTACAGAATTTCAAGTTTCTAGCTTTACTGAAATTAAAACTCAATTTTAGTCACCACCTTTTAAGGGTGATATCTCGGAAAGGCTGAGGAAATTTTGTTATAGGAAAGACCCACCTTAATTTCATACAAGCAATCACCTCCTGAATTTTGTCGCATGAATTTAGAAACACCCTGTATTTTAATAAATTATATAGTCAGTTTTATACATCATTTTTAGATTCTAGTTAGAATGAAATAAAAAAATTTTAAATAGATATACATAAACAGTAAATAAGTTGGTATAAGAGATTATTATTTAAATTATTGTACAAAGACGAAAAGCTTCTTGTAAAAATTGTAGTCAGTGGCGAGGCATATTCAAACCTAAGTTACTTCGGATGTGACCATTATGTCTTTTCCTTCTAAAAATTAATAATTTAATTTACACGCCTAAAATCAATCATTATTCTCTATACTGTGGTATACAATCGTAGCACTCAAATAAGAGCGATCTTATAATTCACATCAGCTGACGATGTTGGTTTTAACCTTTATAATATTGAATATTATTTATTAATTTTGAAAACTTAATGCAATCCTGATATAAATATTTGCAGGTGGCGGAATACCTTTTAAGACAACACGGAGAAACAATGAGGAGAAAGGAACTTCTCCAAGCTACCAAACAAGTAACCAAGGAACTAATGGACCTGCTCAACCAAGACAGATCCCCTTTGTGCAACACCAGACCACAAATCCTTCTGGACCCTTCGATTCAGAGGCATCTCACCCACTTCTCCCTCATCAGCCACGGTTTCGGCAGTCCTGCGATCGTTGCAGCACTCACCGCCATTCAAAATTTTTTAAGTGAATCACTAAAACACCTAGACAAAGTTTTTCCAAACCAGAACACCCAGCAGGGCCAGCCCATGTTAGTGACCTCTTCGCTTGATAAGGCTAAATTAGACGATAAGAAGTGACGACTTAAGAATCTCTTATATGTTGTGATCTAATCGAATAATGTTGAATGAGGATCCGTATCAGCCAAATACATTTTTATAGTAAAATATTTGAAACATTTTGTGTGATATTCATGCTGCGAATTGAGATTTTGTGCAATATCTAATTTTTTACATGAGTGGAGAAGGGATCATGCAACATTATGTTTAAATAATGATAAATTAGTAAATTTTCGAATAGCTATTTATGTAATAAGTCCACAAACTATAAGCATTTCGTACAGAGCAATGGCTTTATGATGGACAGATTTCATTAAAATTTATCCTTTTATTGGAAATACCTAGAATTCAACGTTTTTGCATTGAGAGTTGCCAAATTGATAATTTGATCTATTGATTACTTATATCATAATCATAATATATATATTTCTTTATTAAAATATTAATTACAGAAAATTCAATTTATCCTGTCTCCACCACAAATTGTATTTATTTTATTAAATTGTTAAATTTTCAAAAAGTTAGTAAAATATTACTATTTGATTGCAAAAAATACTCCATTAATAATGTAAAAGTATTTATATTAAAATAAAAAACCAAGAATGATAATTTAAAAGAGGAAAATTTACTTAAGCAATTATTATTGTCTCTATTTGACTAAAATGAACAATGGCCATGCAGCCGTTTGGTAGTACCTAACATTTAAAGTTAATTTTTAATTTTAGTAAATGAAAAAATATGTACATGTAGGTAAAGGTTAAGACGGTGTTCCACTGCAGCCACTTTTCCAAAATTTGATTAAATTTTTATGAAAAAATACAAATCGTAAATTTTTTTTTCTGTTGTCTTATTTTTTATAGAAAACATTTTTTTAGAAAAGTGGCTACAAAGAGTACTTAGTTCAAATGTACCTATCTGAAAAATCAACCGGGAACTCTTAAAATTGACGCATAATGTCGTCAGGGTATTTTTTAGATCCAGTTCAAATGTACTAATTCAACAAGACACGCAAATTTGGTAAATCCAAACAAACATGTTAAATATACGTAAAACTCGGTAGTTATTTTTATTTAAAGGTTTACAAAAAATGTTCAAATGTACCATTCACGAATTTTTAAGCCAGTATTTAAATGTACATTTATTACAAAAATTAATTACAAAGTAATTTTTTGAGATCTCCATGTTATCCAGCAAATTTTAAGCTGTTAGTTCAAATGTATCATTCAGTAAAATGCATATAACGCATGATATTCGCAAAAAACAACTAATCAGGAGGATACAGTATACTCTAAATATTAAAGCGAAAATGTCCTCAAAGTAATTTTTAAGATATCTAAATGATTTTTAACGCTATTTAGTAAAATCAACCTGACACTTGATATTTGCAAAAAAGCATTGAAATAATTTCCTCGAATTTCTGAGAAAATAGTTCAAATGAACATTTTTCTGTAAAATTAACTGGACACTCCTAATATTTACGCCAAATGTCCTTTTTTGAGATATCTAAATATTTTCCAACTATTAAAGGAGTACTTCAAATGTATCATTCAGTAAAATCAATCTGACACGCTTGATATTTACAAAAACCATCAATTTAAATACTTTTTGTGAATTTTTAAGTGATTAGTTCAAATGTACCTTTCCGCAAAATCAACCGGAGGCTCTAAATATTGATACGAAATGTCCTCATAATATTTTTGGAGATATCTAAATGTTTTCCAGCAAGTTTTAAGGGAGTAGTTCAAATGTACCATTTAGTAAAACAACATCAATCGCTTGATATTCGCAAATAATATGCATCTAAGTACTCTCTACAGTTTCTTTAAGTGAGTAGTTCAAATGTACCTACCTTTCTGAAAAATCAATGACGTTCTTAAAATTAGCGCCAAATGTCCTCAGAGCATTTTTTTAGATATCCCAGTTAAGAGGAACATTAATTTAAATATATTTCGCGAATGCTTAAGTGAGTAGTTCAAATGTACCTTTCCGCAAAATCAACCGGAGGCTCTAAATATTGATACGAAATGTCATCAGAATCCCATTTAGTAAAATTAACATGACAAACGCTATATTCTCTACGATTTTTAAGTGATTAGTTGAAACCTATCTTTCTGACAAATCAACCGGACGCTCTTAAAATTGACGTTAAATGTGCTCAGGGTATTTTTTAGATATCCCAGTTAAGCAAATAGTTCAAATGTACAAATCCAGCAAGACTCGCAAATTTGGTAAATCCAACCAAACGCTTGATATTTTTAAAAAATGTGCTCAGTAGTTATTTTAATTAAAGGTTTCCAAAAAATGTTAAGGGAATAGTTCAAATATACCATTCATTAAAAACTATTTAAGATGCTTGATATTCGCAGAAACATCCATCTAAATACTTGTCACGAATTAGTAAGTGAGTAGTTTAAATATACATTTATGCAATATTAACTGGACACTCTTAAAATTGACGAGAAATGTCTGCAAATTATTATTTGACATTTAATTGCTAATGCGGAAAGTAATTTTTTGAGATATCTTAATGTTTTCCAGCACTATTTAGTAAAATCAACCCGATATATTTGATAATATAATAATATTATATTGACGCGAAATGTCCTCAAAGTAATTTTTAAGATCTCTAATTATTTTTTCAAGTATTAAGGGAGTAGTTTAAATGTACCATTCAATAAAATTAATATAGCGCGCTTGATATTTACAAAAACATACATTCAAATACTTTTCACGAATTTTTAAGTGAGTAGTTCAAAAGTACCTTTCTGCAAAATCAACTGGACGCTCTAAATATTGACTTTGAGATATCTAAATATTTTCTAGCAAGTTTTAAGGGAGTAGTTCATTTAGTAATAGTATTATTTAATAAAATCAATATGACGCGTTTGATATTTGCAAAAAAACATACATTTAAACACTCTCTACGATTTTTTAAGGGAGTAGTTTAAATGTACCTTTCTGAAAAATCAACCGGACACTTTTAAAATTGACGCTAAATGTCTTCAGAATTTTTTAGATATCCCAGCAAATGTTAAGCAAATAGTTCAAATGTACAAATTGAGCAAGTCTTGTAAATCCAATCAATTATGCTTAATATTTTTAATAATAATAATAATAATACTCTCCCTAATTCACCCCCTTACGAGTGAATTTTAACCCCAAAAGCTGAGCTTGTGCGGGGAAAGGGACGGCTATTATTATTATTTGCCGTGGCGCTCCGGGGCGATGATTGATGGTGCCATTTGACTTACAGGTGAGGAAAACCCGGAAAACTTCACTCACTATCATCGGAACGGTAATGCATGGCGATTTTATATTTTGCATGTTATATCAACAGAAATTGAATATCTATTAATACGGCACACATCAAATCCTATACCGAACCATGCAATTTAATTAAAAATCCACATGGTCTGGGCTAGGATTCGAAGCCCGTCTATCTCTGACCATAAACTTGCTTGTAAATGAATATGAGCGCGTGAGACTGCTATACCACCGACCCGATATTAAGGTAATATCTTTACCATCTAAGGGATGATATTTAGAAAATTGAGTATTTATAAAATTCCTTTTGTCACCCTGTAGAATGAAAACTAGGGCGTTTACAGGAAAATATCTAGGTTTTTTAATAAGTAGTTAAGATCTACATCTTCCATATTTTAGGACACTTTATTATGAAATACCCTGTAAATACCTATGTTTATGGATCGTTTTAAAAAACTAGTATTTTGATTAATTTATTTTTCGCTGAATTTATGTTTATGTTTTGATAAGAATTTTTTTAAATAACATGTGGTTTCTACTTTAATTTGTATGGTCCATCTTAAGGATTGTTTTTATTTCTAACAAGATTTAAAACAATTTGCAGTATTAAATAACAACTTATTTATAGAATTAATTTAGATGTATTGATACTATTTTCCACGTCAAATTTTGAAGGTGTATTATTATTGAAAAGTTATTTGATCTCATGGGTTACAGATTTTTTTGTTCAGAAGTGGAACCGCACCACTGCGTACTTCTGCATGAATCTTTTTGTTTTCATTCAATTGTTCCCAATGTGCCATTTTAAATATCTAGCTCAACTATTTAAATTATTCATACAATTTGACCGATTTTTATCGGTGTTATTGTGACATAGTGCCAAATTAGCTTAATGTTAAAAAAAAGAAAACAAATCTATTAAATTAAATGTGTGTTTGGCTGATACTAATTCTAAACATCTAAGTTTAAACTGCCTGAATAATACTAAGTTGTTTAAAAATGAAAAACAGGATTGGAAAATAATTCCAATGATGATGATAATACATGAGTATATTTTTAATTATTTTATTATGTACAGATTGACACAGCAAACGAATTGTTAATTGTTTAATTTCGTAACGATTCGCATTGGTATTATAATTCCACAGTAATTGTAAATTTGTAAAAAACAAAATGTAAAATAAGTATTATTCAGTCGGCTTATGCAATCGTGGAGTATTTTAATTTGTTTAAAACTGTTATAAGTATTATTTTTGTTTTTTTTTATTGAATTAATAATTTATGTATATAAATATTTATAAATATATATTTTTCAAACAGTGCCAATACCAACAGTGTAAATATTTTGGAAAAATATATTATCAAAAATAATTTCAGGTTTTTCTTCTCACCCTCTTAGTTTCTTCTTGGTCTCAACATACCCAGGTAGCACGTAAACATCTCAATTCCGCGTTCTTTAAGTTCGCATGCAATGTACTTTTAATGTAACCCTAACATCCATGTAACCACCGAATGTCCACAACTGCAAGATTTTTTATAGCGCATCTCATAGAAGTTACAAAGTGAAATTCAGAGAACATCACACTAGCAGTTTTCAGTACTTTCCCTCGAAAGTTGCTCTGAAACGTTTTATAGATGTTATAAAGTGAATTAGTTCTACATCATTATATATATTTCACGGATCCACGGATGGACTTTACTTGTAAAAATATTTATTTTAAATTAAAAAAAAAGTAATTCTTCATAATTTATTTTGCTTGATAAAAAAATACGATTCTTGTTGAAAAATTATGAAAATTTACTTTGTCTTAAATTTAAAATAAATATTTCAACAAGTCCATCCGTGGACACTAGAGTGGTTGTTAAAAATTAAATTTTTTCCGACGCCCTAAAAAACCTTCTTTTTGATGAAAAAATAAGGGGAATTTTATTTATTTTTTTTTTTTTTGACAAGAACACGTCGCAAGCCGATTTAAGTTTATTTTTTCATAAAATCGTATAAAACAAAAATTATAGATAATTATATTAGAAGTAACTTTTATTTGAAGAATTTTCTTCTCCAAACGTAAATAACAGATATATTCCATAAAATATAAAAATGACCACCTATAAAGTACCCCCCCAGATGTTCCGACTCTGCCCAAAATCTAATCAGCTCATTGGACGCTGAAACAAAGCTTAAGTTTAAAATTTGGTGTTTTTCTGTGTATCGGTTCATGAGTTATGCGTTATACAGACACACACAGACATCATCGCGAAAATAGTCAAAACGGATTCAGGGGACCTCAAAACGTAAAAATCCGTCGAAAACTCGAAGTCGAAAAAAATCATGATTCCTATACTTTCCTTATATCTGTATACAGATAGGAAAGTAAAAAAGGATCGTCTGACTGGATATTTTCATTAGTTATTTTATTTTCCTGGCTGATAAAGTATTCGACGCCGAGACTACCCAGTTTTGTATTTCTTTGTATGTGGTAACATTTAAGTCTTTAAAGGCGTTATACCAGCGCATTTTGAATCGTGGACACACTACAGCGCCAATTACGGCAGTTTTGGGTTCTGGACTTAAGAGTTAAAAATTCTTTAAACCTTTGCCCAACAGACTTAATTATGGCCTCTAAAGACAGTGTTAGCTGTTTTATATCGCCTGATATTTTCAGCTTTTGAAGTATAGTTTTCATCGAAACTAAGCTGGGAAGCAGATACCCATAATAGGTGTTATGCTCTCCCTGTAAAAAATCTAATGTTTTAGCCAGAAGCTGCATTAATTTGATATATTCCTCTAAAAAGGATATGTCGTGTTCCTTAAATACCGAAATCATAAGTTTTTCACATAGAACTTCTAACTTATCTTTAACGGAAACAATTTGGACGACAGCGTCATAAGTGGAATTCCATCTGGTAATTCCTCAAACTTTTAACTTATGTCCAAGTTTTTCTTGTATTACTCAGCCGATTTCGGCCGTTCGCATTTATTTCACAACTTAGAACATTTGGAAAATATTTGTGTGTTTTTTTGTCGCAAAGGCAGTAAATCATTTACCGAATTTTTGAAATCGGTAGTTGCAATGAGATTTATGGTATGTGAGGCACATCTTATGTGTTGCGGAAAATATCTTACCTGTGTAAAATTAGAACTGTCGAGAGTTGACTCACGAGTCTGATAAAATGATAGGGTTAAACACGACTTCATCTTCTTTTTCTTCAGAGTCACTGTCTTCTTCAGCAGAGTGTTCCTTATTACCTATGTTTAAACCAAACTCCTTAAAACACTTAACGAAGTTGGAACCATTGTCAGTTACAGTGGCTAATAATTTGGTTGTATCTAAATTGTATTTTTTGTGAATGTCCTCCAAAGTCTCCGCAATTCGATCATATGAATGGGTTCCCGCAAATCTTTGACATGCTAATGCCACTGAGTGTCGCTTGAGGTCTTCATCCAGCCAATGGCATGTCACCCCAATAAAGCTTCGACTCTTGGAAGACCATATGTCGGCGGTAGTACATACATAATTTACTTGCGAAACATCTAATTTAATAATTTGGTCCATTTTCTGATACATTTCCTCAATTGCTTTTGTTGCTGCTGAACGGTCCAGAACTTTAACGTTCATTCCGTCAAATAAATTTACGAAGCTAGGGTTGGATACAATTGAAATTGGTGACATATTGTTGATAACAAATTTTATAACTTTATTGTCAAATGACTTTTAGAAAAATCCTATTGAAACTAGAAAAAAGAGTTAAAATTTTCGAAGTACTAAAGTACATTCTGGGTATTTAAGTACATTGACATACTTAAGAACGTTATAAGTACTTTTAAAGTACTTAGTTGCCTTCTTTCTTCGCTATTTTAAGTAAAAAAAGTACTTAATTCGTAATTTTACTGTTTAAGTACAACGGTAAAAACTTAAAAATGTAAGTACAAGTACAAGCATTTTTGCAGGTATTTAAGTATAGTACTTGAGTACTTTTTGTACTTAAGTAATTTTTTTAAGTACATAAAGTATACAGTACTGCAGCTTTGTCCACAACCGCCTTATTCGCCTGATATGTCACCCTGTGACTTTTTTCAATTCCCTAGCGCAAAATCGATGGTCAAAGGAACCCATTTTGAGTCGGTTATGGGTACTCGCAGACATCCCAGTCGAAGCGTTCCAGAAATGTTACGAAGCATGGAAAATGCGCTGGAATCGTTGTATAGCTGCCCAAAGGGACTACTTTGAAGGGATGGCAGAGTTATATATTTTTAAATATAC